TATTTGTGTCCTTTCAATCAGGTTAAGTTGAAAAACAACTCATGCTGAACTTTTGTATGTTATTATTCTTGTCGGCGAATAAAGCCGTTTATTATTATTATTATTTATGTCAGGATTCCAGAGACGAATCAGAGGAGTAGGTAACTACTGTGTTTTATTGATTACTTTTCTCTACTATGAGTTTTTGCAAAGCCAACTCACCCGAAGATTATGCGAGATCGACTGATTTCTAGTACTTGTTTTTTATTCCGGTAAAACAACAACACGCTACCGACAAAGATCGATAAGCAGGCGTTGCGAGTCGCTCGTAAATTTTTCGGAGCGCAAATTAATTTGTAGTTTTTAATTGTGTCCGGTGTAGGTACAAGTTGTAGAATTTCAATTGTGCCTTTTGTTCCATTCAGAGGCGACCAACGGTATCAAATTGCTCTCGAACTCGGCCCGAGAGAATGCTTTTGTCCGGGAACTTCGTTAGCGACGCCAAGATAATATTTCGGGGGTCAACATTTCGTGTGGATAAATGCCAATTTCTTGTTGTGAAACAAGTTCACTTGTATATGAAATATTAGTGAACAAAAACTTGGTGGTTTTACGTAGTTACATCCTCACAGTAGTTTATTGATATGGTATGTGAATGAGAGGGGGCGTTTTTCAAACCAAAAGGCATACCAAAAACTCCTATAGTACCACATGGACCAATACAAATAATGAAAGTGTAACTGATCGCTGACTATTCATGGAATATATATTCGAAAAATTACTATTGAAGATCTTTTTTGACACAATAGAACCCAAAACAATAATTTCCAGAGTTTTTGATTTTGAGATGTTGTAGAAAATCATCAGAGTATATCGATGATATTGAGAATACACACTTAGTAGTGACTTCATTTCTAGGCACAGATGACTGTATTTGAAGGAAGGTCCTTGAAAGTAAATGTCATAAAAGTCAAGGAACTTTGTTTTCCAATCACAAAGGACGGAATGAATACTATTGTAACATGCAGAAATGAATATACACGCAAACTAACATGAACACATATTGGTTGATACTGAATCATGATAGTGAACGTATGTAAACACCACATATGATGTAATGCATGTCCTTTCACGAACACTTTTACATGATGCAGCTCGTTCTTCGTTTTCAAGACTGGAACAATGTTGTTACATCGTGCAGCAATCGAAGAAGAAAAGGATTGTGGACAATGTTACAAAGTCGGGGGAACAATAAATCACGAAAACCGAGAACACACGGGCTGTTATTACGATTGCCTCTACAATAATTAAAAAGCCACAATATAACCAGAAACGTTAATAGACTTATGCCCAAAAGGGCTGGAGGTATAAACGGTTGAAGATAATTAGTAGAAAGCATTCGGGTGAGACTTTGAAAAAATCTTGTTTGAACGAACCAAGACGAAATGAATATGTAGATTGTATTGACCTCTGTAAACGAATGGTGGCAAGAACCACTTTCAGCTGTGAGTGGTATGTGTAAAATAAACTCGTGACTTTTTCATCGACCATAATGATAGCCTGAGAAACATCAATACGGAGATGAGTCGATATATTTTCATAGGATCGGATGACCATAAAAACGTGACAATTTGTGAAAACAAACTGTTTCGAGTTGATCATTGATCATTTCTAGGTCGCTTCAATCCCAAAACACTGGAAAAGGAAATCGAATGCATCGTTAGTGTGTAACCCATTGAGCCAAATAACAAATATATCACCGGTGTTACGATAATGAATAATAGAACGGACACACAGCGGTGTCAACCAATAATTTGCGATCATTCGTTTTTGTTTTTTTCCATAATAATGTGACAAATAGTTGGGCCGTTGCAGTTCCTGTGTTTTTACTAGATTTCCGGTGTCTAATAGGTATGTTTGTTTGCTAATCAGCTGTTACTTGAACGTCCGGTGAACAAATGTCATCGTGAAATGCTACGTGAATGTTTGTCCACCCGTGTGCAGTACTCTGAACTTGATAATGAAAAAGTAACTGCAACAATATCAACAAGAATTCGGTTTCAGTCTGATTGTATAAAGACACAGTTCTGGGAATAGCCGTTCTGGTGAAATAACGAATGAGTTTTGCACTTGATGTCTACGAAAAAAAACAGTGATGTGGTTAACACTTTACTTTCACGACAAATTTTGATTTTTGCTTATATATTACGAAATATACGTATTAACTCATCTTTAAAATAAACAGCCCAAACATCAAGTGCCGATAAGTTTTTCGACAGAGAAAGAAACACTCATCGAGCCGTGAGACCAAGACGTGAGACATGAACGTAAGCGAGACTGAGACATAAGATCGTGGTGCGGGACAGAAGGCAATCCGTTGGATTTTCACGCTGACATGTCATATGTCTTTTGATAACTGTATAGTTGTTAATTCCTTTCAAATCGCCTCTCGGTAGTACAGAGTACAATCGATGAAACATGTGTCGAAGCATAAGTCAGAGACGTGAGACACAAATGTGAGACATGAGATCGTAATGCGAGAAACAAGACGGCGAGTCTTTTAGATCACTTCTGTTTTGTGCACAATACACTCGACGAATTAAAGATATATTTGCATTAGACTACTGCATTGGTGTTTTTGGCCCTGTCTCCTGTCTCGCTTATCTGTGTTCGTCACTGAGCAAATCTTTACTTTGAAAATCTGGCGTTTTGATTTGCAGTCTCACTCCTTCATTTCGTTCTTGGGTTTCTGCCTGGTGTCTTGATTTTCCGTAACTATCGCGGCGCGATCTTCAAACACCAAACGAAATTACGTATTAGTTTCCTTTCTCGGTTTTCTGACTTGTTTTCGCCTCTATATCTCTTGACTCGTGGTGTGAATCTTCAATTTCACATCCTGATAAAAATCTAAGAAAACCTTTCGTCTTGATCTTGATCTTGGTCTGTTGTCTCGTTCGCGCATCTCTGTTTCCTTTCTGGGTTTTTTGCGAACCATATCTTAACAAAAACCTGAAAGAAATCCAAAGTTGGCCCACAAATAATCGGGGTAAATTTTTTGTCAAGTTTTCTCTAAGAAAATGAATAGTATTTTGATGTGTCCCTTGACATGATGTGAAGATCTGGGACCAGAGTGTAGAAACTATCGATACAAGAATACAGTTTCCACGTGGAAAGCCTTTACACCAACGTTCCTGTTGAAGACGTACTTTGAATCATACAGAGAAAGCTATCCGATAACGAGAACTTGGAAGACAGAATGAACATACCAATAGAAGTAATCATGGAATTACTAGGAACTGCTATTTCCAACAGAAGGACGAATTACGCAAGATGAGGGACTGCCAAAGGGATCGCTACTTTCGCCAGTTATAGCCAACATATATAAGTTTAAAACTATGACAATTGAAGGAGCCCTTGGGTCTGGTTGAGATACGTTGACGACGCCTTCATAGTACGAAACCATGGGAATGCAGAACTAAATACTTTTCACACTGAAGCACACTGTTGATGTGCTTCAGAAGGCATCACCTCCATTCAGAAGGCATCACCTCCTCAATGAAGAAGGAAGTCTACAACATTCTTAGACGTATTGGTGAAGAGAACCGACACTAAGTAGGAAACATTTGCATATCGAAAACACACTCATACAGGACAATATCTGAATCATGAATCCAACCATCATCAATCTATCAAAAGAGGAATCATCAAGAGGATCGTGCTCTATAATACGAAAGAAGATCTCGAGAAGGAAATATGCATCATCAGAAAAGATCTTCAATGGATTGGTTATCGGTGAAACTAAGAGGCCTTTGAAAGTCCTCATTTCTGAGCACAAGAAAAACATACAGCGAGAAAAAACCAGCAAATCGGGAATAGCAGAACATGTCTAAACTCATCAACATAACATCGAGTGGTCCTAAACAATAGAAATTGTACCAGCACTTGAAATAAAAGTACATCAAATCGATTCTGAGAAATCATCTGTGAAATGTTCTTCGAGAACCTCAACAGAAATATAATGTACCTTTGTGTTCTTGCACTTGATAAAAATGTGGAGATTATTTGTACACGGCTGCTACATATCGGATACAAATAAAGATCGGTAAATATTGACGGTGACCTATAAATCTTTGTTGTACACCAGTATGCAGTTGTCGGTTTGATGAAATCGTATAATTCTACAAGCTAAAGAGCTGAACAATATTTTTGGTCTATGAGAATTTAACGATCATGAATATCAAACGAGGAACTTGAGTAATGCGAGATAGATATAGAGAATACAAATGGGGGAATACATAAAATTTTAAGAACAGGCGAGCACAGTAAATGACTCTTTGCGTGTCAGGAATCTATATGGGTATTATTACCTCAATTATGAAATGTAGGCATAGCAAAGCGTGTTTTCCTAGAATTATCGACAGTGGGCATTCTTGAGAAAAATGAAAAGTGCCCACAGTTCTGAATTAATGCAGCATTGTTTCATGTAGTGCATAATGAAAATCGACAGCTGGTTGATTTGTAGGCATATTCAGATCTTTTATTTCAGTATCTGATCTATAATCCACTTTAATAAATTTTGTATACATTTTTGTCCGAATGAAGTGGTATATCATAAATGAAAGCTATAGTGACTACTCACGGCATATACGAGCTCTTATCTCTCCGCTTTTGGAGTATAATATAAATTTTGAAGATGTTTTACATGTGTTTTTGTGTTTATCGAAGGTGATAAGGCAATCCAACTGATAAGCCGTGTGGATATCAAAGGTAAATAAAATATAATAAAACATACGAGATAGTTGTATAATAAACCTGTACAATTTTTTTAATATATATATCCCCGGCATAACAGCGACAACTGTTTAGCTGCCGTTTGTAATCTTTGGTGGCCATAAAGTTTTATGTAAATATACCTGAGGGCATTTTTCTGGGGTGCTTTCCACAACGAATGAAGGGTGGTCCATTGTTCATTCATAACGAGCTGATAAAATACCATACTCAAATGTTAAAAAATCACTCACCTGTTTCGAGAAAACTGCTATATCTTCATTGAAGGATTCCGATGAGCAAACATCTCCTCCAGCCACTCCAGGTTCTCTTGGTGTACATGTCGCTAGTTCACATTTTTCGAAAATTAAAGCCAATAGGGGAAAAAGAGGATGTCTGAAACAAAAAATGAAATCAGTTTGATCAACGGTGTGAAAAATCAACATAGGAACAATCCTTGTGGAATATATTCAGAAAAGTGAGTTCCAAAAAAAACCTAATTGAATTTTTTGACCCTTGATCCTATCAATGATTAAGCTAATTTGTTGATGAGGTTCGCTAAATTTGGATACCAACATTAAAAATGATCAGTAAGCTATAAGAATCAATTTTTGAATTCAAATTATATGTTGCAGGTTTTTTTCCTGAAAATTAAAATATGTAATTATGTATAATTGAAAATGAGTAGACATATATTCTAGATGGAATATTCATCTGTAGAATACTCATTTATGAGAAATGAATGTTACGATTCACGTATTTTACAAGTTTGTTGATTTTTTAAGTTTGCCATTTGGACTATGAAATGCTCCACAAGAAGGCCACAGGATTTTTTGATTTGAAATGGTTGCTGTGCTTCACAGAAACAGAATATAAGGCCTCACAACATGAACAAGTGCATAAAACATGTTATTTCATTTCAGGATACCCTCATCTTTTCCGCATGAATTCCTGCGACATGAAAAATATAGTTGCGCTCCCAATTAGCAGACTATCAATTACTCTTTGTTCCACAAACGAAAACAATTCCTTATAGAATTCATAAAAACAAGTACTGTTTTCAGTATTATTTTTCCAATTAATAGAACTGTCAATTAACTTGAAGTCGATGACTTTGTCATAGGGGTCATCGAAACCTGAACAGATTAGAAGCGTTGCTGAAAAAGTACACTTCCTGCATTCTCGCAAAGTTGATAAATCAATCGACCCAGCATATAGTATGGTTTTTGAAGGGGAACGTCGAATAATATGATGAGTACATCATAGGTATATGAGTCGACCTCAGGGTGCAAAGATTCAGCATAGTTTCACAGTCCAGGTAATCAACGGCAGAAAAAACCAAGTTGTGATAAAAACCATTTTGTCGTTTTCACTATTAAGAAAAAATCTTGGTTATGGCCTTTACAAAAATGATTGATTGGTCCAGATTTGAAAAAGCATGATAAAAGCACTGCAACTCTTCAGCAAGAAACACACTTGGGGCAAAAAAAATGCATATGCACCATAAATAGTAGTTCCTCATCAACGATGAAGAAGTCTCCTTCAAACTTCTTGATTCTATTTTCAATTCCTTAATGAATCTTATCACGTTCCCCGTAAAAACCGCATCTAAAAATCCATCCATTTCCTCCGATATCCACCAGAACCTCTGCCCTCAGCTATTTTTCCAGTGATTAGCCGAACATCTGCCCATCAGAGATCTAAGCTGGCCTAGCTCGAACGGAAAACAAGAGAGCGTCATAGCATACAAACAACGAACAATCAAGTGTGGCCACCGCCGCTATCTTGATGCTTTGACCCGTAAATTATCAGAAGATGGCACATCATAAATAAATCGGTACATTTATGAATGTGGTTGCACTGCCTCTCTTGATAGACATGCCATTCATAATGTCGTTTTATCCTTAATGTCTGATACAGAGCAGTTAATGTGTAGTTGATGATTTATTTCATAGGTCTGTTCGAACGTTATGTCACAAGCTGTTAGCAATACGGTATGTTGATTCTTCGGTTGAGGTTTGCTGATTTAATTCCAATTCACCAAATGATTTTGCCAGTTACACATGTTCAATTGTTTCCTGGATTAGAGGCATTGATTAATCACAAAGACTCACTACTTGATGAAGGTGTTCAACAAGGATGGGTTCTGGGCCCTTCATAATATGCCATTTACCAAAGCATTGTTTCATATCTCGTAGAAAAATTATCTTTTCTTTTGGTACTGATGCCACTTGGGTACATCACTGTTAAAAATATTGTTTTTTCTGTGTGTTAGTGGGGAAGTTGATAGCTCATCAAAGTTGGCAGGAATGTTTCTTACTATTACGTGTATTCACAAAGAGTCATTGAAAATTGTAGACTATAAAATGATGAACGTGATAAATTTACGCAGTGTTTTTTCTCTTTTCAAACGAATTGAATCAACTGGTCCAAAATAACACTGTTTTTGAGTCGGGAAGATGCATTATTTTATTCTGAATTAGAATCGAATTGAATTACAATAAGAGTAGGTATTTGTAGAAAATGAAAATGGTTTCATCTTGGACATAGAAAAACATATAATCAAGGTTATAAAAGTGAATAGCTATCAGTTCCTAGAGACGTCAGTATTCATATACTTTTCCCACTCATTCTGAATGAGAAAATAATCCGAAATCTATTTTACTTTTAGATACACGTAAGGTCACTGATATTACTAGCTCACAGATATTGAAATACGACAGAAAATATCGTTAAGGTAAATACTAAAGGGCCTAGGTTCAAACCTTAGGACACACCTGAAGTTGTATATCCGATTATTATAACTATTTCGGTTCTGGTGTAGATGTGTGAAAGGATGTGTATAATTTTTTTCTCAAACACAAACATCTTTCAGTCAGATTGTAAATCTTTAAGCTGTGGTTCAATTCAATGTGTCTTACTGAAATTGATACCTAACGTCTTGCAGTCCAGTCCGTTTTGTATAACATAATTTTTATGTATACTGGTCTCAGGTCTTTTGGAAAGGAACTTGTATTGTCAGTATCACTATTTTCCTAGTTTGAAGGCCGTGAAGTAGCTCTTCTTACGAAACTAATGAATATATAGTGTATGTGTATAAAAGGACTTATACACCTCAAGAGATTTTTTCATTCACAAATCGAGTGATAATTGAAAGCATGAGTCCATTGATTTATTTATTATTGACTTTCCACAAATTATTTCTCTAGGACTTTTGAATTTTCCTATGAATAATATATATTCCTGATCCCATGAAATGTATGGGGAGCAAATGAGTAATGGGTAATGTGGTACCAAAAAATCATTTTTTAGGATTCCAAATAGTAGAATGATATTTGACAGTAGTTTCAAAAAGTCGTTGAGTCTGACCAATATACTTTCTTCTCAGTCGTCATAGCTTACCGCATGAATCATCGATACCAGCTCCGGAATGTAAATAACATCCTGAAAATGTATATTCTCATGATTCAAGCCACTTTATTGACCAATTAATGAAAGATAACGATAATCCACAAACTGTTAACGTTATGTCATTTACATGATGAAAATACTGATAGCGATCTTCGAAAGTCAAGAATTTGAAGAACACTATTAAGATGAGTATAAAACATTCTGTACCATGTCATAAAATTTATTACCTAGTTCTCGATTTTTATATCTTTTTTATTACCTCCGTACAGAAATATTAGGAATGGTAAACTGTTCTTGGATTTTGTAACCAAAAATTATGCAGGAGTGCTACTTTTCTGAGAATCCGAGAAATCAGACGAGTCGGACATGGTTGAGGAAAATCAATGTCGCTCGGTTATCTGCCATCAAGTTTATGGACTATCATCTTGATTTTTATATCGTTTTTATGACGGTTGCGTCAATATAGAAGGGTGTTTAACGTCCAAAACGAAATTTCCACCATAGATAATTGGGGAAATATATACGGAGTGATTCAACGAAAATTTGACACGGTAATATTTCACCTCCATTAATTCTGCCGTTTTTTTCAAAATTGTTTCCTTGTTTCCAATACATATTTTTGTCTACATTCATATTGAACTTAAAGTAATCAGACTCAACGGATGACTCCAGTGGCTAACTTTTCAGACAGAAATTAGAGATGAAAGAACAAAGATAGCAATAAAAGGAATAACAATACCCTAACTCAAAAATCGGCGATTTTCTTGAGACTTCAGGAATAGAACTGCTTTGAAACAGTCTTACGTCTGACGTTTTGCTCCTCGCAGTAATGATTTAACGTCATTTATGTCATTATATAATGATAATGGTAATAATAATAATCAGGCCTTGACCACACTAAGTTCTCTTACAATAAACCCACATCGTCTCTTTAAAACAAATCAAGATGGTGACAAATAGGCGTTTAGCTTCCGCGTCCGCTAGCTAAGTTCAATATTTGTACATCTCTAGACAATGTTTATTTAAAGGTGTTTGTAATTAGTTGGCGCGTACATGTTTATCTCTCTGTACACAGAGTATCCTCTCAGAAACCATCTGAACGGCCCCATAAAAATAAACGGATCGTCAGCTGCTTCAGCTTAACTCGATTTTGGAAAGGAAGCGAGTCTTTTGTAGAGCGTGGAATGGGACAATTTGCAGTGGCGGGGCCGGGAGAAAAACTATTTCATTACATGTTGTGGAATATATTTAGTAATTTCACAAACTACACTTAAACGATTTGATCTCCACTAACTTTATTGAAAATAATCATAACATGTTTCGCTAAAACATTAGCTTTTTCAAATGATTAATACATCCAAGCATTCTTACATTCATATTTATATACTACAGGTAACCACAATCGAGACTACCTGTAAGAAATTACCTGAATCTCTACATCACATACCTGATATGAATGTAAGGATGCTTGGATGTATTAATCATTTGAAAAAGCTAATGTTTTAGCGAAACATGTTATGATTATTTTCAATAAAGTTAGTGGAGATCAAATCGTTTAAGTGTAGTTTGTGAAATTACTATGGATCTTCATCAAGTAACGGCCGAATCAATCAGAAAATATATTTAGTGTCTAACTGAGCCTTCAGAAATCAGAAATAAATTGAGATCACTTCTTCTGATACGGAAGATTTCTGGAGACTCTCTGATCTATCTCATGAAGGGTCAGGGTAGAGTTGATGACAAGAAAAACCTGAGGTTGGTGGAAATCTGCAGAGAGCATTGATTCAAGAGAATATTTCATGTTGTTGCATACGTGGTTTTATTGTAAGTGTTTTTATAATAGCATTTTCATTATATGTTGGTCTTCACTGTATGAACTATAAATAAAGCGAGCAGTTTTTCCAAGTTAATCAAATTATGAAGTAAAATATAATTCGAAAAAAGAACTGTTTGTATTTGTTATATCTTTTGCTCAACTATAAGGT